CTGTATCCATGCATGGGCATGCTTTTCTGCCTGTCCCCATGCACGTGCATGCTTTTCTGCCTGTATCCATGCATGTGCATGCTTTTCTGTCTGTATCCATGCATATACCTACATGTACAACTGACAGAAAGTGAAAGATTATTTTCTTTTGTGTTCTTTTTATTCCATAGGTGGTAGAGAAATGGGCCAGTCAGGATATGTGAACTGTCTTTCCTATTGCAGCTGTCCCTGAGGGAGACTTCCTTCCCTGCCCCCACTTCAGTGGAGGAACCCCTCCCCTGGGCTCAGCATACCCTTCCTCCTGATTGCTCCCAGATAGGGTAAGGCCGCCCATCTTTCTCATTCTCTCCTCCTCAAACCTGCTTGTTTTTCTTGGTGACAGGGAGAGCTGATCTTTCTCAACCTATTAACAATGGTCATCATAGAAAATGAACAATATATGCAAGCCAGGTGCCCTTACTCTCCTAAACACATTCACAAGCATTTTCTCATTAGATCATCAAAACCTTTCCATAGATGAGATCCACTTATTGCCTGCATTTCACAGAGAGAGAAACCGAGGCAGGGTGGTGAAATGCTAAGTAATTTAAGTGTCCAAGTCCACATGGTAAGTATTCTCACCTTCTCTGTAGTGACTGCCCTCCAAGGCTGGCACTAAAGTAAAAAGCATTGCCTTTGCTTGCTTTGTGAGCCAGAAAAGTGCATCCCTAGACACTCCCTGTACCCCAGGCCCCACACCCCCAAGCCCCTGCCCTGTTGCCTGCCTCTCTCCTCCTTTTCACAACCAAGGCCTTTGGAAACCTTGTTTGTGTTGCCTAGCCTCCCCTCTCCACTCTTCAATTCAGCAGTAGTTAGTTCTCCCTCCCCTGGATGTGACTGTTATTTCCTCATTCACCTCACCTGACTTCCCAGTTCTCCCTCAGGCACTTTCTTAAGCTTTGTGTTCCCTTGGGGTACCTGACAGCAAAGTGGGCACTCCCCACACTCCTGTTTACTTCTCTACAATTAGTTTCTGGTCTTGCTTTGGTTTCTGGGTTTTTGTTTTTGTTTTTTGCCTTTTTTCTCTTTTATTTTTTTTTCCTTCTCCACTTCCTTTTCCCCTCTGACTAGGTTCTTACATGAAAGCCACAGCCCTAACTGTTTTTTTGATTGTTTAGCTGCATTTTGGTTTTGCTGTGCTGGAGATGGAACCCAGGGCCTCCAACATACTGAGCAGGTGCTCTGCCACTGAGCCCAAGGCCCACCAGCCTGCTCTTGAAACCTGTTCTTCAAGATGTCAAGGTTTCTGCCCTCCCCTTCCCAGCCTAGCCAGTCCTGTCCACTCAGCCATACAAGGTTGTGTGGTAAACAGTGTTTGCAGTGTTTAGTGTCTCGGTTTTACGCGGGTCCCTGTGGCTTGCACTGGTCTTATACAGCACTCGTTTCTTGCTGTCCCATTGCCAGTCTCTTTCACTGGGACCAGTTTTGTCAGACCTCCCTTTCTCAAGCTCAGCTCCGGTCATGACGGTGTAAAGGTCAGAAGATGACTTTTTCTCCTAGTCACCTAGACTTTGAAACCACAGTTCCCACAACCCCACCTCCACCCCTCATAGCAATACTGTGCAGAAGTAAACATTGTCTTTCCTGTTGAGCCGCACTCTGGGAGTCCCAGATGCAATCTTCCCCTTCCTGAGACTGATAGTTTCTTCTTGTGCTCCTCAGTGTCCTCCTCAGTCCCATAACTCTTTCTGTTTGAACTACTTATTCTTCTCTCCATCATTAAACTCAGTTGACCCCTCAAGCCAGACTTATCCAGTCTAAACTTGGTTTCCTCACTACTTTTCCTAAAGTGTGAGCCCCCTACTCTGAACTCTGTTAAAACAAAGACAACCGCCTTTCTCATTTGATCCATGCACTCCTCTGTTAAGGGAGGATGTTGCCCCCACTTTACAGATGAGGACTCTGGAGCTTGGGGGAGTAGAGGAACTTGCTTATTACACAACAAGGCAAGACAGAACCAGGATTCAAACCAGGTCTGTCTGAGCTGAACCTGGGATTCTGCTGAATTAGGATTGGGTTGAAATGGAAAGGCCAGGTCCTGCCTCCCTGTTCTGTTCACAGCAGCCCCATTTCTGAAACAGAGCGTCTTGGTCCTCAGAGGTAGGATGCACAGGACACAGAGGTCTTGGTGGGCTCGTGAACAGCACTTGGGGAGGGCTCCCTATACCTTTTCACTCTTCTGACTCCCCACTGCCCTTGTATCCCTCAGGGAGATGGTGTCTTCAGGAATGTACAAAATGGACAATGGCAGGCCTTGCCTCACCAACTGCTTTCCAGCAAAAAATCTCACTCGGATACCAGAAGAAGGTGAGGTGACTTCTCCAATTGCTGCCTTTTCTCCACACCCAGCTCCTCCTGCCTTGCACGATTTTTCTCATTTCCTCCTACACCACTCCGTCCTGTCCCCTCCCAGCCCTCTTTTCACAGGAGCCTCATAGGCCTTCTGCAGTATGTGTTTAACCACAGTGGCTTCTGTTCAGTGGCCTCTGATTGCTGACACCCATAGAGGCACTCCGTGTCACTCACAGTCAAACCCAACCCTTCACGTCTGCCACAGCCCCTTTCCTTTATTTATGTTTCTTTCCTAGGCTGCTCTTTTCACAAAGCTCTTCAGTCTGTTTGGAGTACTCCAGCCTTCATTGAAGTTAGCAAAGGCTTCCAATCCATGAAGCCCTGCCCTTCCCCCACTTTTACAACAGACCATCTTTTGACCCTTTAGTCTTATGCATGTTTCCCCCGTTTCTCCTGTTAGATAAGGAATCAAGCTCTGTTCAGCTCCTAAGTGAAAATGCTTATACTTCTCTGGTAGTTTTCAACTATCCAACTATTCAAAAACTCCCCTGGAGGAGGGACTTCTAAAGCAAGCACGAGTGGAACACTGCCTAGAAGTTAGGCAGCCCTGTTGCTTTGGATGGTCAAGAGAGGAGTCCACCTTGTTTAATCTTTGGCTTTGGGACTTGTTGCTACTCTAAGTATTTTCTTTTCACCAGTGGGGGATTGACTAGTCAATGCCCAAAGCACGAGTAACGAAAACTATGTATGTGCATTTACACACATAAATACTGTATTTTCCCATAAATGTAGACCTGATAAGGTTTATTTATAAACTAGGAAGAGCATGAGATTAACATACAGAGTTAAAACAGAGTTCTAGTCAGCCAATAGTAAATAGAATAATTATATTAATATGCTGAATGAATAAGTTATTGTAAATTATTCTTTATTTTTGGAATTCTACTTCATATTTTTAGGCCACAATTGAGAACTAGCAAGGTTTTTATTCAAAAACCTTGAATAAAGGGGACCACAGAGCCAGGTGTGGTGGCACACTCTTGTAATCCCAGCACTTGGGGAGGCAGAGGCAGGCGTATCTCTGAGTTTGAGACCAGCCTAGTCTGCAAAGCAAGTCCAGTACAGCTAAGGCTACACCCGAGAAACCCTGTCTTGGAAAAAAAGGGGGCTGAGGGTGGGGCATATGGTGAGGTGGAGTGGGGGTGGGAAAAACACAGAATACATAGGATACAACTCTAGCCTAGGCTTCAATTTTTTGAGGCGTATAGTAAATAGAGACCGATCACAGGCCTCACACATGACAGGGCTTTACCCCTGAGCTACATCCCAGCCCTGTTCCCTGCTTCTCCCGAGTGATTTCATTTTTCGCTTAGGTGTCCTTCCTGACCATCTGCTTGCTTGAGTCCTTTAAGGAAACTATCAGTATGGATTTATGCTTTCTCTCTCTGCCTCAATATCTCCCTACACACACACGGAGACAGAGTCAGAGATAAAGCCAGAGACAGACAGACAGACAAAGGAAGGAGGGAGGAAGGTGTTTTCTGCATGTATTGGCATGCACACTCACTGAGAGCAAGGGGTATAGAAGTAGTGAAGAGTCTCCGCGTTGCTTAGACTTTGGTTTTTAAATACTATTCTCCAATGAAAGCAGTGATAGCTCCCCAGGAAAATAGAAATTCACAGGTCTGAAGCAAGGAAAAGAGAATTCAGGTTGGACCCTAAACATCTATGGTACCAGAAAGTAAAGACGTGCTCAGAAAAACATTGAGGACAGGTAGAAAGGACACAGGAGCCAGATGACATAGCCAAATCTGGGACAACCTAAACAGGGAAATAAATAATGGCAGGATTGGGTTGCAAACGTGCAATAAATATGCATGAACCCATGATATAAATAAACATTTAAGTCAAGAAAAAAGTGGGAGAGAAGAAACATTCTTTTCTTGTGGTAAAAATCTCATTAATGAATAGCGATTACAAGAGGGAAATATAAAATCACTATTCAAATATGACAGCAATATTTTTTTTGCAGGTGAAACCCACTTTTGGATAATATGTCAGTCAGGATTCTTTAAAGGAGGAGATTCTTTAGTAGGAGACAGGTAGATTTATAGATGGATAGCGAGATAGACAAGTAGACAGAACAGGAATTGGTTCTGTGGCTGTAGAGACTTAGGTAACCCCTGGAGAAGAGCTGATGCTGAAGTGGGTGTTTGTTTGTTTGTTTGTTTGTTTCCTGATGGTGAGGATAAAACCCAGTGCTTTGCACAAGACTGGTAAGTGTTCTACCACCGAGCTGCATCCCAGCCCATCATTCTTTTTCTTGTGACTGAGTCTCTCTAGGTAACCCTGGCTGTCCCAGAACTTGCTATGTAGAGAAGCTGGCCTTGAACCCACAGAGATCTGCCTGCCTCTGACTCGGGAGTGTGGGGACTAAAGGTGTGCGCCACCATGCCTCACCCCACATTGTAGTTATGAAGCAGGACTTCCTGTTCCTCTAGGAAATCTCAGGTTTTGATCCTTAAGTTTTTCAGCTAACGGAGTGAGGTAAGGCCACCCACATTATCAAGTACTTCTCTCACTAACATCAGTTCATCATAGACACTAACTGAACCTACCAAATACTGTCACAACAAAAATACAGTGTTTGAACAACTGCAGATTATAACCCAGTGAAGCTGATAGACAGCTACTTGGGATGCTACAAAAAGGGGGTAGAAGTATGAGAAATGAGATATTTGAACAACGTTCTAGGTAGAGTTATTAATAACAAAGGTAAAAATAGGAGCTTCTCAGTAGTGAAAGCAGGCAGACCCCATTCTGCATAAGTGATCAAAATTAGCATTGTAAGGCTGGGGGAGTGGCTCAGTAGGGAAAAGCACTTGCAGCAAGCATCAGGACCCATCCCCAACCTTGTAAAAGCTAGGCATGGCCTTACACACCTATTACCCCAGATTTGGGGACAAAGACAGGGAAATTTATGGGGTTTCCTGGCTGGCCATCATGGTTGAAATTTTGAGCTTCCGGTTTTCTGAGGTAGAGAGTGACAGAGACAACCTCTCATATCATGCACATGCACAGCTTCTACATGCACAGCTGCACACATGTGAACATGCACTCACACATCATGCACGAGTATACCACACACACACACACACACACACATAAAATAAACACTATCACTCAGGAGGCTGGGGCAGGAAGATTGTGAGCTGGAGGCCAGCCTGGGCTGCATAGTGAGAACCTGTCTCAGAAACAAGTTACAGCCACCAGAAATAGCGCAGAACGAGTTCCCTGAAATGATGCACAGAGCAAGGCACAGCTTGTTTTTGTGGTAGCTGGCCAAGTTTAAAGCATCAGTCTGATCATGGGAAAGCATCAGACAAGTTCACACTGGGGGAGAGCTTATTCTGAATACTTTAACATTTAATGTTTAACTGACAAGTGCTCTTCTCAAGTGTCAAGCCAGCAGAAGGGAAAAGAATGGAGGACTGTCTTTCCAGCTGGAGCAGACTAAGGAGCCACGGCAGCTGCGTGTGATGTGAGATCCTGGCCTGGATCCTGGGACGGAGGGAAGACATTAGTCAGGAAACTGCCAAATTTCAAAGTAGGGCTGACATTAGTAGCTGCTGTTACATCAGTGCTAATTGCTCGGGTGTAGTAATTGCATAGCAGTTATAGAAGGGCAGACCATTAGGGAAGCTGGGTGAAGGCAATGTGGCAATTTGTACCATTCTTACAACTTTTCTAGAAGTCTAAAATTATCTCAAAATGAAAAATTATTAAGAAGAACAAAACCAAACAAAAAAATCCTCCCTTGATCTCCCTTTTTGCTGAAAGGCTCTGTTTGGCTTCAGCACATTTTATGGTCTGCTTGTCCCGACCCCTCCAGCTTCATCTCACACTGATCCCCTGGCACATCTGGGCCTTTCCTCTTGACCACTTTGAGTTTTCACAGCAACTCTTATTGTTATCTTTAGGAGTCCAGGATATGAAGAGTAAGGCAAAGAATACCAAAGTCTATGTCCTAGATGGGGCAGCTTTGGTGGTGGTTACCAGATTGCCTGGCCCACAGCAGGAGCGGGAAATGCCTCACATGGGACCAGAGCAAGCTGAACTGGCAGCAGTGTTGAGTGTAGGGCCACAGCACCTCAGATATTACTGAACTTTCGGAGGTCAGGCCTTCTGTTGTGTTCATTCTCATAACTGCAGCTCTCAGCACAAAACAGATGTCCATATACATCTAAACAGATGACTATTTGGGTTCACTAAGTCATTTACGTAGCAGCGGTCATGGTGGTAAGTTCAGTGCAAGCCATGGGGACATGAAGATGAGTTAGTCAGATGAGGCCCTGCTGCTACAGAGTTTCTATCCCAGAGGGTATGTGAACAACAAATGAGTAAATGAATAATATAATTACAGATTGCAATTAATGCCATGGTTAGATTAATTGTGAATGTGAAAGAGAGCAGATTGCAGAATGCCACCATGATTTTAAACGAATTTGCTATGAACTTCATAATCATTTTTTTTTCTTAGATAGGATTTCATCTAAGTATGATGAAACAGGCTGGCCTCATACTTACTGTGTAGCCAAAGAGGACCTTAGATTCTCCTGTTTCCACTTTCCAAGTGGTGGGATTACAGGCGTGCTCTACCATAACCAGTTTTATACAGTGCTGGGGGCAGATAAACTGAGGTCTCCATTTGTGCTAGGCCAACGCTTGGCCAACCTGAGTCCCATCCCTAGCCCTCCCAGTCTTCTTTTGGCTGATGCATGGAAGCCAGGTCACACACAGGCCTTCCCAGCAGCTGACCAGTCAGGGAGAAACTGGCTAGCTTTGAGACAGTGAGCGAGGAGGACATCACATAACAGGAAGGAGCTGATTTTGTCTCTTAGATGAACAGTAGACTTAGGAGGCACACATTTGAAGATAAAGTAATTTGGAAGCCATGTGCTTTTCCCTTGTTAGCCCTTTCCTCTGTAAGCACTGAGCTTAGCAGCTGCTTGAATGAGACATGTATACAGACACCCTCCAGCAGTACAGAGTGTCTGAGTGTTAGCACTCCGGAGCTATTGGGGCTTTAGCATTAGAGAGAAATATTGTGTATTCATACCATTGGTTTTGGAGGAGTTTGGCCCTTCTTACTGGTCTGATCTTTCCCACAGGCCGAGGACACTGGTTAGTGGCTCGGAAAGGCAATATGAAGAATGTGGGTAAGGTGCCCACCGAAGTTCAGGAAAACCCGAAGAAAGTATCTTTTGAGATTGGATTGAAGAAAGCATCTCAGCGGGATAACCAGGCAGAAGTTCTTGGACACACCTTGGACCGGCCTTTTCTGGTGAGAGTTAATGCATGCCTGAGTGGTTGGCAGGGTTATCTAAGGCTAGGGGAGGGGAGGAATGAGGACCCTCCTTCTTTGCTCTTGTCTGACTAGGGCGAAGGACCACTACTCCTATCCCACTCCAAGCTATGAGAGTGATGGTGGCAAACTGAGTGTGGCTGACGGTGAAAGAACCCTGGAAATTTCCTTTACGACATGGGAAGCCTTTCCATACACCCTGCGAGACAGGCCCAGTGTTACCATCCTTACTATATTGTTGCCACTGGTAGAGGGGAAAAAGAGACCCCACATATAGCCAATAAATGGCCAGACCAGAATTAGAACCCTGATTACTGACTCTAAAAGTTGTACCTTTATATTCTATAAAGTGGCCAGACATGGCATGCACCTTGAATCTCTGTACTTGGGAGGCAGAGACAAGTGGATCTCTGTGAGCCTACATAGTGAGATCCTGGCTCTAAAACAAAAAATACATTATATGAAGTGAAAAGTCTTTTGTGAGCTGGAAAAGCAAGTGTTTCATCAATAAAGGGAAACTGAGGACCCTATGCCAGTGCTGAGGTGGAACGAGAGATTCCTATGTGCCATGCTGTACTCTGCTCTGGGGTGACTTCTCCAGGAGCAGGCGAGACCAGGGAGGTCTCACTCCCCCAAAGCCTTACACCTTTACCCTTTGGTTTTAGCGTCTTCCTGGAAGCAGGAGGATTCATCTCTTCAGAGAAGGCTGGGTGCTGGGTTGGAGAGCAGCCAGGCAGTTTCACATCTGCTCCGTGCAATGCTTCAGTAGCTTGGCAAGCAAAGATGGATTTTGTAAATTAATATTAATGGGCAGCGTGGGTTCTCATTGCTCCCAAAGTAGAACTCTGGTAGCCCCCCCCCCCCCCGCTTGTTCCCGCATTCTGCTTGTGAGTCCTAAGACATGTTTATCAGAGGTCGGAAGAAAGCGTGCTTGGCCCCCCTCCCCTCCCTGAGCAGCACAGGCTTCCGCAGAGCCTGGGCACTTGCTTCACTGTTCTGACCACTGCTGGCTGAGAGCGCAGAGAGTTGAAGCAGCGCCCCGAGGCGGAGCGGACCGCGTCACTGCACAGTGCTCTTTCCTCCCTCATTTTCAAACACAGTTGACCTGCATAGCCACTATTCCTCAGCCACGGGTCCAGACAACCACAAACTGAAATGTTCAAAAGATAAAGCAAAAGTTTTCTCTGTACTGCACATGCGCATACTTTATATTTCTATTCCTTAGACAACATGGCATAACAACTATTTTCATACTCTTTGTACCATATGAGGTATTGTTCATTGGCATGCTGCTGTTACCTGCACTGCTGCTTAGGGCAGAAAAAGCAAGGAGAATGCTCTTCAGAGTAATGCCACCTGTCAGTTTGCTGGTTTGAACTAGTTTGAGAGTTACATGGCTCGTTCAATAAGAGATGATGGCGGCGCAGTGGCTCCAATAGCCAGGTGGTGGTGGCACACGCCTCTACTCCCAGCACTTCTAGGAGGGAGAGGCAGGCAGGTCTCTGTGAGTTTCAGGCCAACCTGTTCTACAGAGTGAGTTTCCAGGATAGCCAGAGCTACACAGAGAAACCTGTCTTGAAAAACAAAATGCAAAAAAAATATTGTAGCAGAAGAGACTAAAGGAAGATAGAAGATAGACTTGATGACTGTTTGATAGACGTTCCAGGACTTGGTAACGGTGGGAGTGTGGACGGGGGTGAGAGGCAAGAAGAGAGAATAACCTCAGGTTACTAGCTTGCTGACCAGTTAGTTTGTGCCAACATGGAGGTAATATTACCCAAATGATGTGTTTGGGATCTGTTATATAATAGTTGTGGAGTAGCACTATAGCTCAGTCTCCTTTCATCTTTCTGCTCTGTCATTCTCAGCCTGCTGACTTGTCCTCTTGGGCTGACCCCCTTCATCATTCAAAATTGACTGCAGCAATTCTGATCATCACACACACACAGAGGACAGCATCCAGAGGTAGAGAAGGGGTTACCACTGTACCGTGCCTGTCTTTAGAAGAAAAGGCATCCCTAAACCGGTCACCCACCCCTACTCTCAGCCGCCAGCATCTCGCTGGCCTGACCTATACATCCAGTCGTTGGTTGGAGGAATGAGGCCTTGACAGTTGTCTGGGACAGGTTAAATCTTGCTCTTGGGGCTGTAGTGAGAACATGTCCACTTTAAGGAAGGTGAATGACCTTCGTGTTCTCTAACAGGGACGATGTAGATGAGTGTTTATTGGAAATGTTGTCAACATCTGGCACATTGATCTCTTCTGTCTTCCTATCCTTTCTAAGTGGGTCAGACATACTGATCTTTAAGAAACTGCTGTCAGCCCCCACTTAAGCCACACTCTTATTCAGAGCCAGTGTGGATCCACATGGTTTCACAACTCCCTCTCCCTCTTGCTTTCCCCTGCCTGGGAGGCCTTGGCTCCCCCTGCCTACTTTATAGGATCATCCCCTGTTCTGCTCTTAGCTCTCAGTTGGAAAAATTACTTCAAGTAAATGTTTTCTTGTTTAAGGCTAAGGTTGGGCCCTCCTCTTTCCACATCCCACGGGTTCCTGAATTTCTCCTTTAAAAAAAAATCATTACGTTTCTAAGTACTTGCCCTTTGGCTTCCCACTAAGTGGGCACTCTGTGAACGTATAGAAAGCATCTGCTACTTCCCCGCTGTCTTCTCTGAGTCTGATTAGAGTGTCTTCATAGTAGGCACCGTATGGGATGGACTGGGGCAAGGAACTCTGTAGCACTGAGCTAGGAGATATTCTAAAGCTGATATTTGATCCTGAAGCTGATATTGTGTACAGTGACATAAGGAAGACTGATGTGGTAAATAAATGATATCGAGCTAATAATGGTTATTAGCCCTCTAATTACTACAGTGGTATTATTTAACCCGCCCTTATTTCACCTTGGGCTGGTCAGATAATTCCATCTACACTGTGTCATATCTCAGAGCTCGAATCCCACTTATCTGCTTTGATCATTCTTAATTGGGCTGCCTCCTATCCTTAATTCCATAAATACTTGCTTATCCTTCATCTGGATAGATCCTTTCCACATCATTCTCGGAGTCCTTCCTCCTGGCCCATGTAGTTTCTTTTCCATGCTAACCCATCGTGGCTTACTCCTCTCTTCTCTCTTCCTGTCTCTCCCTTCACCAAGATCCTTTCTGCCCCCCAAAGCCTGCAAACCCTGGCCGCCCTTCCACGTCCACCTTGCCCAGGTCTGTCTGCAGTTTAGTGGTTAAACAGAGGGACAAAGTTTACAACATCATTTGGGGTATGTAGCAGGCCTGGGGCGGGGGGAAGCAATTAACACAAAACGGACAGCACCAGACCAACCCAACAGTGGACAAAAGTACACAGCTTAATGAGTATAGGTTGGATCCATACCATAGATCTATCACGTATGAGTTATAGAGCCCCACGCAAGACGGCTTCTGTCTCTCAACCTCATTAAAGAGAGAAGTAAACCTTTACCTAGTAAAAGAAAGCTTTAACACACCTAATAAGTAATAAGAAACACTAGTCACATTAAATGAGGTTCAGTTAGGGCTAAACAAAAGTTTGCTAGTACAGTCAGTATAGTTCATGGACCAAAGTAGTATTCAGCTAGTACTTGGTGATGAGTGAGGGAGGGAGGGAGGGAGTGAGGGAGTGAGTGAATGAATGAATGCACAAACAAACAAATGGCAAGTTTATGAAAGTGCCCAGTGAGAAAACACTCAACAGAAATAGCTGAACTCATCATATTCTGCTGGGCCCTTGGGGACTAACTGTGTCCTGTGTTCCAGCTGAAGCACCACAGTGTGAGAAAACCATCAGATCTCTGCACTGTCAATGTGAGCGGCCTGAAGTTCTCCAAGGTGAGGCCAGCAGCAAAGATGTGACCGAGCCAGATGTGATGGGGTGTCCAGATGCCCTGGTTTGTGTATGGCAATTCCACAGTCCCTGGTAACTAGAAATCAATTATGTAGAAAGATGGAAGAGGGACAGGCAGGCAAGAACTCACTGTGCGGGAAAAATATCCATACACAAACTTTGCATTCACAGGAATTAGAAGAACTGACCTTAGGAATCTGTTCTTGAGACTGGGGCATAGAACATGCATTAATCAGCCAGGGTAGACTGTAATTCCTTGTGTAGAGTTCCCACCACATGAGTTTACCATATGGTAGGGGTAGAGAAACTCTTACCATGAGGAGAAATATACAAGAATATGTGTAGCACCATTGTTTGTAATGATGGAAAATTTGAAACAGACTAAGCGTGTACTGCTAGAAAGGAATAACTTGTCATACACTCAAGGAATTCAAGTGGAAAAACTGGAACTATGTGTATCAACACAGATTAATTTCCAAAGAGCTACACATATCTCACATAAATCTCAAAAGCATGCTCATGAGTAAAAAGGCATATTTTACCATAATATGAATATAAAGTTTAAAACATGTAAATAACCCTATTTACTTGATGGATATAAACATAAGTGTATATGTAATACACATAAAAATCAAGAACAGGGATGAGGTGTGGGGTTTGGGGGGCCACATGGAGGGCGTGGGATGGAGGTCATAAGTCTTCTAATGGTTTCTTTGAAGTTTAGACAGTTCAGAATCAGATCTGTTCAAACTGGGTCATGTTTGGCTATATCCTCAAAGTGCCACTGACTGCTTTTCCATGCGTCTGAAGTGTTCCAGTGTAGAAGAAAGCGGGGTCCTCAAAGCCCTGCCCGCTTGGCTGCTCTCGCACTAAGAACCTCTCTTTGTCCTTTAGGCATTCGTCCTCTGGCTACTCTGGTGCTGCCTTGGGGCTCCTGGGCAGGGAACTAACACTGTGTTTTTCTGGAATGCTTTCCAACAGGCAAAGGAAAAGGACTTCAAACATTTTACATCCGTGATTTATATCAATGCCTCCGAAAACCTGCTGCCTCTAGGTGAGCTTTGTTTGTCCGTGCACCTGTGAGCGGCCTCTGGTCTCTCTAGAGTGGCCAGGGCACTGGAGGGAACACAAATCTCCACTCTGGCCCTGTGCTGTCACTCAGCACATTCCTCTGTGAGCTGACACTCCTCTCCACAAACACAGCCGATCCTTTACTCCAACCCTGCAAGCCACCTTGCAAACTCCAGGGAGAGAAAAAGCTTCTTAGTAATTCAGCAAATCTACAGTGACCCCTGCTGGTGCCAGGACTGTGTGGCCTATAGAAAGAAGCCTACCCAATTCCTGCTCAGGAGAGCTTGTGATTTGGTAGGAGACATGGGCTCAGACTCAAACCAGAAGCAAGGCACATAAAAGTAACGGCACAGGGAAATTAGGAGATGCTATGCAAGCATACAAGGAGGATGCTAACCCAAGCCAGCGAGTTAGGAAAAACTGAGAAACAGCACCTAAGATAGATCGAAAAAGAAATAAGCTGACTCAGCAAGGTGGCCCAGTGGGTTACAACACCTGCTACCAAGCTTGGTGACCTGAATTTGATCCTTGGGACCCACATGGTAGAAGAAAGGAACCATCTCCTAAGAAATTGTCCTCTGACACGTGTGTGTGTGTGTGTGTGTGTGTGTGTGTGTGTGTGTGTGTGTGTG